CAGTATTGTCTTATTTAACACTAACTTCATAAAGTTCAAACAGAACTTTGTATCACATTCTTACAGGTGCTCTGAAGGCCTTTTTCTTGTTTCATCTCTCTGCTGGAGCTGAGACTTGCAGTTTATCACTTCTTCATTTTATGAAAGAGGAGTCTTCCTTTTACAACTCAGCTTCTTGCTCACATCGTTAGCCTTGCTTCAGGCTACTCCCTAAGGCTCCACTTCTTCAAGGTTGGGGATCCAAAACCTCTGAATGGGAGCTTCCACTTCAGGAACGCACTTTTCTGAATTATGCTCCATTTCCAAATGTTCTTGCACCTGTTTTGCTCTGATTAGCTCTCCTTTGAGTTCTGCAACTTGATATCTTCTGGTGATGAAACATGGGTGAAACTTCCCTCAAACACCCAGCAAAAAACGCCCCCCCCCCCCCCCCAAAAAAAAAAACAGTAGCTGTTTTTTTTACATCAAATAAGTTCCTTCACTGGCAGTTAAGAAGGATGCTTAATGAAATGCAAATGAAGCAAATTGGGATGCTCCTATTCTTTGGTTTGGTTGACAGTGGATTCACGTGTTCTAGCCTTCAGCATTCTTTACTTCTGCAATCAACTTCTCTAAGTGCTGCTTCTGCCCCAAGGCAGCCAAACCCAATTACACTTACCCAGTTCTATAGTTTCTGGCATTGGTCTTCCCTGTTTTACAAGGAAGTCTAAGTCTTTCCACGCCTAATCCTTGTTTTACAGTCATGGTCACCGATCAAAAAACTGTTTATTTGAGAAGAAAACTGCATTTGCAAATCAAGTATTGTCCAAATCACCAAGTCTGATGCTCCAAAAACTTAGGAGCAGATTCTGTTTCCCTTCTGTGAAACAGACTGCAAGAATTTTTGTCTCATTCTTCTATCTCTCCCCCCACCTTCAGTTTCTGAAGAACTTTCATCAGGATGCTTCTGGCTTCCAGCTCTGGCACAAATACTCCAATACCACAATATACTGCTTTCACTCAGATAAATCCACTGTTCTGCCAACCACCTCAATGAACTTTCTCCAGGCATAAATATCCAGGATCATTTGGCCATTTTCACTTTCTCCATGGGGTAAAGAATAAGGGAAGAAGAAGAAACGTGCTTTCTTCCAGTTCTTTTCCATGGGCTGAAAAACAAACTAGGATAGATTCCTCACATAAAGCTGTAGTCTCAAGACCTTCCCAGCACAAGACTTTACAGCAGAGTTCCATGAGAGCAGCTCCACCAGATCACTGTAAATGCAAGTAGCTGTGAGTTTCCCCCATATTCCCTATCCTCATGCCCTTACACTTCTGGCCCAACTGATACAGTTGATGTCACTCCCGAATAAGATGTAAACTTCCACTTCAGTGGTAGGATGGTTCTCTAAGCAGCATCTTTTGCCTCTCTTTCCTCTTGACGGAAAAACTCTAATCTTATTAACTGCAACAGCTGTAAATAAGTGCTGTTCCAAAGCAGTTGCACATGGCCTGGGCTAGCCCTGCCTTCTTTTAACTTGGAGTTCCAAGAACAATAATTCTCACCCAAAGTCCATAAATCCTTCTGTTATTTAGCTCAGCACATTCAAATTAACTCATTCCCCTAAAATACCTCTTTTTGATAATGGGTTTCACACACTTCCTTTTCAGGCCAGTCTCCTACTCCTCCTCCCTAAGTGTCAACAGTCTCTTCATCCACGTTTTGAGATTTCCACATTCTTTCTTGGATTTTGTCCTGAGTTATTCATCTTAATAGTTCTCCTGGACTCAGCCTGGAACCTCCCTTTAAGTCATTTGCTCAGTCATCTAATCATACCCTTAATCCTTCCTGCCCAGATCTAACCCCAACCAGCTATCTGAGCCAGAAGAAAGAAGAAGCCCTGCCCTATCTATTACACATTCCTGCTCCCATGCCCTTACAGGAATAATGGCATGGAATTTCCTAGATCATCTTTCCTGATAATAATTGTTCCCCCAACAACCTTTTTTTATCCCTTGGTAATGTTGATAATGTTTTTGCCATTTCTGTCCCCCTTAAAATGTATGGCTTCCTAAATGATCTCCTTCAGCCTTCTCAGATGAAGATACGCTGACAATGGATTTTAGGTTTTCATGAAGAGGTGTTTAAAAAGACTGTCAAAGAAGAGAAGAAGAAAACATGTATTTTAAATAAATTAGCAAGAGTAAAAACACATTTAAGTATTGCTAAGGCTGAAAATATATTTGAATAATAAATATGGAGGAAAAGACAGACTGTTGCTAACCATACAAAATTAAACACAAAGCCAAAAAAAAAAAAAAAAATCAAAACAAGAAGAAGAAAAAAAACTCCAAGCCCAATGGCAATTGCTTTGGATAGAATGCTTAATACTAAAATCTGTGACATATTAAAAAACAAACAAGCAAACAAAAGAAACAGGATTTATCAGATGTCTTTTTGACCTCAGAAAGGGTTGGTTGTTTTTTAAACATCACAGAGCAAGGTGGAAAAAGACCAAATCTTTACTGCATAAAACTGAAGGAACACAGTACTCAGTGGGATATTCTGGCAGTTACATACAGTCCCATCACAGGAGTATGGGACAACAGAGGAAAACATCTGCTGGCAAGACAATCTATTTGTGCATTGAAGTCAGAAAGACAGATCTAGGCATCCAACAGAAGATGGAAGCAAGTATTGGAGAACAAATAATTTTGGTTTTATATGAATGAGAAGCCTTTGTGTAGGAGTTGTAGTGGGAATAAAATTTCTTCACATTTCATTGTGTAATTTTGCTGTGTAGTAGTGTTTCAGTATGATTTATTGTGTAATGCTATTGCATGGCATCATTTCTTGAGCAACTTTGCTGCGTGGTATAGTTTTTTATTTAATGATATTGAATGTTAGGCAATGGTCTTGCATGCCATAATTTGTGTTGGCTGTTGAGCAACATCACTGCCACTCTTGACACAAAGGTGAATTCACACAACAGCGTGAAATTCATGATCTTAGCGCACATTCACTCAAAGATGACAAATGGATACAATATCTTGTTCTGAACGAAGACGCATGCAGAAAAGCTGCAAACTGAGAAAGTATTTTAGCCAAACCTTGACATTAAAAGATGATTTTATTAGATAGCAATAATGGCACTTTCTTATCCAGAGCTACATGGTAATTGCATGGTATGATGCTACATTTCACATACCCACACCTGGTCGTAAGTACAGCAGGACCTTGTTTTTACAGACTGCTGGGTATAAACAAGGGTGGTAATATGAGTACAATGTGACTTAGGCTCTGTCCAAAACTGTCCTTGCATGGAACCACGAAATTCAGAACACGAACAAAAACTCTCAGTCCCTTATGCCAAATGCAGTTAATGCACTTCATTATAGAGGATTCCTGCATTAACAGCAACGCTACTGATCTTAGTGTAATAACTTAAAAGTTTTGCATAGGATTAGCAAGGACTTGAGCATGCTGTACAAGCATCACAAGAACATCCTACCACTTAAGGTGCTCTTAAGTAGCAAAAGAGGAAACAAAAGTTTGCTCAACATGTAGTGCCAATGTAAGTAACTTATCTTTACCTTCCTTAGACAAACTTCATTTTTTTCATACTTCCCTTCTTTTCCTTACAACACACATAGTCTGTATACGGATTTAAATAAAGCATTTGAAGTTCAGGAAATATATGAGAACTTGAAACTCTCTTCCAAACAAAGCAAGTAAGGATATAAACTTAATAACCATATTTATATTTACGTCCACCCAAAAATGCTCTTAATGGGATGGAATGCATTACCTGGGAACCTACAAAAACTGTATGCAGCAAGAGGCAGAGCAGGCACTGACAGCTGACAACTTACTGCTGCTGCAAGCATTTTCATTTGATCTCATATTCTCACAGGCTGCAAGTAAAGACGAAACGAATATGTATATAGGTTTAATAATTTTTAAAATACGGTAAGACCCAGTGGATAGACTGGGAAGGCAGCTCACAAGAAAAAAAGCAAGCCTCTGCACCTATGACATAAGATCAGTTTGTTATTTGGCAGATGGCAAAACAGAGGGGGGCAGAGAAGCAACGACTGCTGATGCAGTATGAGCTCCCGGCCCAAACCAAGGCTGCACGCTTCCCCTTAGCAGCCTCCCACAAACATCTGCTCCAGAGTGCTCCATGCAATTGTAGGCTTACATCTAACTAGTCTAGAGCTCATCACTGTGCAGTCAACTAAAACACGATGGAAACATCCAGAGAGGTGCTATTGTTCTGTCAGTTGCGCAGGCCCACTCATGGCAGCAATGAACAGAAACTCTACCCCACTCGTTTCACTGACCAGCTTGAGGCCGCCATTGACACACAGCAGTACCTGCGGAGCTACCTGTCAGCGGGTGACTTACTGCCTCATCTGCCGTCCCCATACCGACTCTCAAGGCATTTCCTCTTCCTTCAGCATCTTCCATGCTGGGTGTCAATACGAAAACTGAGCACACTGAAATCGGAATACAGCAGAACGACCCCCGACGCACTTAATACAAAGCGAAACGCTGCCGCAGCGATGGTAACAGCCATTTCCTCGCCGAATCGCTGAACTCCACCATTTGCAAAGCGCGAGGGATGCTGTCAAAGGGCTCCCGGCTGCCGCGCAGGTCCCGGGCCGCCGGAGCTCCGGAGGGAACCGAGGGACCCCAGAAGAACGCGGCCGCCCGGGGAGGCTCCGCTGCAAGGGTCGAGGCCAGAGAAGCGGTACCCCCGGCCCGCGGGCAGCCCTTCACCTCGCGGCTCCGAGACCGCCCGTGCCTCGGGGGATTAAAGCGGATCGCGAACCCCCGCGCCTCGAGAGGACGCGCCCGGGCACCCCGGCAGGAGCCGGTCCCGACCCCTCGGCCGCGCCGCGTCGCCGTGGCAACGGAGCCATTTTGAGCGCGACAGTGCCCGCGGGCGGGGGGCGCCGGGCGTCGATGGCGGCGGGGGCGCGGGGCGGTGGGCGCGGGACACGGCCTGGCACGTTACCTCGGATGCTCCAGGTCCAGCGGTAGAACTCGAGCGTGTCGTTCAGCACGCTGGACACCAGGCCCGCGGCGCGGGGGGGCTCGGCGGCGGCGGCACCCATGGCGAGCAGCAGCAGCAGCGGCGGAGCCGGCAGACCTGTCCTCGGTGCTTGCGTCCGTGCCTCTGCGCCGGGGCTGCTGCTGCTGCTGCCCTTCTACAGCCGGGGATGTGATTTAAATCTCTATCTCTCGGTATCTTCCCTCTAGACTCCGCCTCGCTCCCGTCACCGGCTCCCGTGCCCCGCGGGCAGGGAGGAGGGCGCGGAGGCGGAGGCGGGCGGGGAGGAGGCGGGGGGGGGCGCGGCGCGGCGGCCGCGGAGCATCGGTCCCTGCGCGCAGGCGCACGGCGGCCCCCGGCTGCGGGGAGCAGGTGCAGGGCCGGGATGGCTGGCCGCGTCTTGTCTTGCCTTTCTTTTTCTTTCTCTAATCGATCGTTTTTTTAACTGGTCGGAGGAATAAATATGTCATTCAGCTTTTACTTTCTTTATCCCGTCTTTCTCCTCTTAGGATCATAAAGCCGTTAATGTTGGAAAAGACTGCTAAGATCGTCTACTTCAACAGTCAGCCCTCCTCCACCGTGCCCGCTAACGATGTCCCTCAGTGCCACATCCACGCATTTCTTGCTTAGGGGCAGTGACTCCACCACCTCCCTGTGCAGCCTGTTCCAATACTCCTTACTGAGGCACTCGTGTGAGCCGTACCCACTCCACCTCAGGTTGCTGGCATGAAGGTGCAGGCCTTACAGCTTTCCCCAAGAAATCTCAGCTCACCATTACTCCAAGAAACCTCACCATCATCCCATCCACTGCTGATGGGCTGTTGGTGGCACTGCCGTAACAAAGCAGCACACCCACACTTCTCTGCCTGCCATCAAAGCATGTCTCCCACCCACATGCCTCCTCCACCTCTTCCCTTCATTTCCTCTTCATAAAAGCTCTTGGCTTTTATGGTTATTTCTTGGCTCAGAGGGGTTTGCCCACCCAGTCTATCTCTGAAGGCTGCAGAAGAAGCTCCTATGGCAAAGGCTGGTGAGACTGTTCTGCACCCAACACTTCAGCCCAAACAAACAAGCTCTCTGCCTGATGTGGGTGCACCAGATGTTCCTGACACCCTTTCCTTCTTATCTCCTGCCAACTTGTGTCTCTCTCTCTCCTATGATCCACGTAGCGTAGATGACATGCTTGGGAATGGTTTCCTCACTGAGGGACTGGAGGAGAGGTTCTCCGCCCGTGTTGCGAGCTTTTCCTTCTGGCAGACAGTAGATCAGATGGTATCTACCTCTTCCTTCCCCAGTACACTGGTACCGTGTGTCACTTGTCACTTGGTCTCTGTGAGCATGGTTTGCACTCCTCCTGCCTGGGTGAGTCACCATCAACTTGGTTCCTGTACTGCCTTGGCAGCTGTGGTCCCAGTGTTATGGATGAGAGAGGCACGCTAGCCATTGCTGTCTTCCTCATGATGAGGTCTGTTGCCTTTGCAGCTTGAATGCCAGCAGCTGTTTGAGAGTTGGGACTGCGTGCTCTGGAGAGAGAAAGAAGAGACATGTCAACTCCTGGAGGTCTGGATCATGATGGCAGCCTGGTTTATCCCACTGCTGCTTGAAAGTTGGAGCTGAAGCAAGGTTGCCATATACCAACCTGTATGGACAGCTACTTTTCTCATGTGGGAAGAGTCAATCAAAATTCTGCATAGACGATACTGACTTTGATTATGTTCTATTCTGATGGTGCTGATCTCTGCAGAAGGCCTGGTGGAAGCTTTGAAGTGGATCTGTCACTGAGTAGGGCACAGGAAACACCAACCTGCTTCCCAGCTTGCAGGAAGGCAGCAAAGTGTTTGCTGTTGTTCCTGTGCCGCCTTCAGGTGAAACTGCTGCAGCTTGTTGTCGAACAGTTAGAAACTTGTGTGTTGGGCATCACCTAAAGCAAGGATTTGGATTTTCTTTAATGTTATCTCTTAAATCAGAAGGAAACCAGAAGAGCAAGTTGTGATCCTTACACTGGCATTTATCTTGAATGAATGTTTGAAACAGAATGGGCTACTGAATTACTCAGCATCCCAGAGATCAGTCCCCTACTATCCCTGATATCAGGCAAGATGTGAATTGAGCACAGTGCATTGGCACAGAGAGTAAAGAACCACAGCCTACCAAGGAATAAAAAGGAACAAGGCATATTAGCAATATTAATACATGTTCATAATAGCTATTATTTGTATTATAATATAGATATGCCTACTTTGTTATTAGAATGATTATATATTTATTCCATGAACGTATTTTTGCACAATTAACATGAAAAAATAATTATAATATAAGAAATATTTATATGATACATTTTAGAGCTTCATCTATTTAATTTTAAGTGCATTTTAATTTGTTGCAATTGCTTTCTTTATATTAGCAATATGATTGCACATACACAACTTTACAAGGCAATTAGGCAATTAAGCCTTGAAAAACAGCAACAACAGAACTACAGAGAATGGACAGCAGAGAGAAGATGATCAGTCTGATCTGAGTAACTTCCCTTGTGCTTGAAGGACTGACACTGGCTAAAAAATGTAATTTCATATATGGCTAACTATTCTCACTAGTTTAACTTTCAACCTGAGAGAATGCAAACACGGTTTTAAAATTAGATCTGGGTCTGAAGGCATCCAAACACACCTCAGCTTGTTTCCTGTGTTTGTGCACCCAGCTAGATGTGCTGGCTCTAAGGCAGGTGAGAATAACGTCCTCTCCTTAGAGGAGAAGGAGAAAGGCATCCAAAGTCAGAGCATCAAAGTAACATGCAAGGAAATCTGCAAAATGGTAGTCAGAAAAAGATGGCTTTTTAATACTATTAATTGGCCAGTTCTGTCATCTTCTACTTGGTACCTATGTAATCCTCACATTCCTAAAACCTGACATCTCAGATGAGCAAATTTCTTCTTGGAAAAGGAAGGCCTGTTTCACTCAACCCCAAAGGAGTGGATGAATGCCCAGCTAAGCTCCAGCCACTTGTCCAGTACTTCAGGATACTTGCGCTGACAGCAGGAGAGCCAGATTGCTTCAGGAAAGGTGCAAAAGGTGACAGGAAGTTGTGGGATAGCTAGCTCCAAGGAAAGTCTCCTCCCAGCTGCTATTAGAGGCATGCTTATACCCCAAGACGCAAACTTTTTATTCCTTCCAGACCTTTCTGCTAAAAAAAAACAATGTGATATTTCAGAACTTTCAAGCCATTTTCTCCTTCTTCATGATAAAAATAAAGAACAATATAAATGTTACCTTGGGAGAAACACCAGAAACATCTGGGGAGGAACATTGTCAGGCACCAGTATGTGCTGCGGACCACGCAGCTAAAAAAAAGCTCTATGAAAAAGCCTGGCAGACACCAAGCTAAACATGAACCAGCATTGTCACAAAGAAAGTTAGTGGCATTATGGACTTCACTAGGCAAGGCATTGCTAGCATGTCAGAGAAGGTGTTCCTTCATTTCTGCTCGGCACTGGAAAGGCTAGACATGATGTGCTGTGGCCAGTTCTGGGCTCCCCAGTAATACAGAGACATGGACATACTGAAGAGAATCCAATGTATGTCCACTAAGATGATGAAGAGACTGGAGAATCTCTCCTACAAGAAAAGGCAGAAAGAGCAGGACTGCTCAGCATGAATGAGACCCAGAATCTCATAAATGCCTGTAAATACCTAAGGGAGGGTGCAAACAAAATGCTCTTTTCAGTGGTACCCAGGGATAGGAAAAGAGGCAAATGGGAATACAGGAGGTTCCCTCTAAATGTCTGCAAACACTTCTGCACTGTCCAGGTGACTGAGCACAGGTTGTACTTTTTGGAGATCTTCATAAACTACCTCGACATGGTCCTGGACACCCTGCTTGAACAGGCCTTAGACCAGATGGACCCAGAGGTCCCTGCCAATGCAAAACCTTCTGGGATTCTGAGATTCTGTTTCAAAGTCCAGATGATCAGTACAGTGATCATGAAAAAGCATTTATTCATGAATTTCAGGGAAGTATGTCCTATTACAGTATTTGATGAATGAGCAAATGCTGCGGCAATTATCAAATGTTTTCAGACTTGAGGTTCACTTCAGGTTAGCAGTGAGGTTGTTGTGAGGGGAAAGTGACATACAGATGTGCTGGATAATCTTTATGAGGTATATGAGGAAGAATGCAGATGGAACTTCGTGTGCTGTCACCAGTGATTTCCTCCAGGTAGCTCACCAAAAGATATAAACAGAAGTGAAGAGCTTTCCTTAGCTACAAGAAAATCATAATAACCAAGAACTTTCCCAGTGGGGAAAAGAGTCATAAGAGTCATTGAATCAATTTTGATATATCTACATGTTAGGCCATGCGCAGGATACAACTCACTCATTTACCAGTAAAAAATGTATACAAAATATTTTATGTGTAAAGCATAGCCAAACTAAAATCATTCAAAAAACCTTAACTTCAGAAATGTGTGTGATTTACATATTTTAAATACTGAACTGTCATATTTCTCCTTTGATTTCTTAAGTGTTTTAAGAGGGAAAAACTGAAATAAATCAGTAAATATAGAATTCCCATACAAAGCCTGTTAATTTGTATGCTCCTTGCATCAAAGCCTTCTTGTGAAGATGGCTAGCTATGCCAAATAAGCCTGTCTGATCTTTGAATCAACAAGTACAGAATTCAATATTTGCTTATGCAATAGCACAGCTGCTATCTGCTTCAATACAGAGGCTGGTTTAAGGCCTTTTTTATACTATACAAGTTTAAAGAGACAATTTTAAAACAACCATAATTTTTTAAAATAACATTAATACCAACAATGTCTCTTTCAACACTAATTAATTTTGTTTGTTAATTAATAACAAACATTGCTACATCTATAATTTGAGGTGGGGTAACAGGGATTTCACAGCTTTTATGAAGGGAATCGTCAGTTTCAGGATCTGAAATGTGTTCAGCTTTTTGTATTCTAAAGTCTGCTTAATGCCATCTGCCCTCTTGCAGATTTTACTGCTTCAAAACAGATTTTTCCAAAGCAAATATATTGGAGTGATGTATTGGAGAAA